GAGAGGCGATATAGCGAGAAAACGGTAAAGGAGAGAGAGAGAGAGAGAGAGAGAGAGAGAGAGAGAGAGAAAAGAGAGAGAGAACGAGTGGCGACACACAGAGGAGAAGGTAAGGGAAAGAGAGGATAATGAGAGGCAACAAAGGAGAAGGTAAGAGGGTGGCAGAGAGAAGGTGATGATTGGCGACACCATTGAGCTATGTGTTTAAGATTTTATTTTGATATTTTAGGATATTTATATTACAGCCATAAATTTAGCTACGAACGACTATACAGTGACGATGGTCTTCTTCGTGCTTCTAACTCTATCGGGCTCTATAACGGTCGATGTGTGTTTGTGTGGTGGACAGACACGGCGCATGCAGCAGCAGAATGAGGTGCTGGATTTGGAAGTCGACGCGTCACAGAGGGTGGCTGCGCGTGCCTTCGCTTAGGGATGCATCTCAGACCTGGTGCCTCCATCTTCTCCAGTCTGACCGACAACGGCTACTTCTACGACACCATTAAAGAGGTATGGGCGCATGGTGGGGAGGGAAAGAGAGGGAGAGAGACACGCTTGGAAGTACGGGTGAACGTGTAGAAAGATGCTTAGGTGGGATTTGTAAGCATAATGGATGGGGGCGCATTCAGGGAAGAAGAGAAGAATAGACAACGTGACGTCAGAGGGGAGAAGAAAGTAGGGGACAAAAAACAAAGTTTGAGAGAGTGCGTTAGAGTGTGTGAGAGAGAAAGAGAAAGAAAAAGAGAGAGAGAGAACGAGAGAGAGAGAGAGAGAGAGAGAGAGAGAGAGAGAGAGAATGAGTGAGAGAGACGGAAATAATTTGTTTGCGTGTACAATACGTGCATTCACATACATAGTAACCTCGTTCAAGACTTAGACACCCGCTTCATGGTGTGGCTGATGGAACGCGTAGAGGTCTTGAAACCTGCATGATGCGGCTCTCAGGCGCCCCACGCTGGACTGTAAGTACCATCTCACGCACACTCACGCACGCACGCATGTGCGCACACGGACAATGCACGCGCAGGCACGCACGCACGTTCGCTCGTCTGATGCCTTTTCACGGAGGATCGTGTCCACGAAACATTAATTTCACGATTTCATCACTACGTCAGATTAAGAGCTTCGTAACATTACGCCGCTCACTCGCTTCACTCACTACGTCATAAACTAGTTTGTGTGTTTTTGATACGATGTTAGTGATGTCCGATGATTTCTGATACGATGTTAGTTGTGCCGTTACAGATATACTATTTGAGATTCCAATTAAGCAATTACAGCCAACTGGCAATCATTGTGTGAAATCATCCGTCTAAAATCACGTTATAAGTTTGATCATCATATATTACCGTCTATGTAAAGAGTTTAATTGCATCCATTGTAAATCTTTTCGATGAAAAATTATTGCTGATGGGGCGAAGCGGGGGAGAAGGGGGAAGAGAAGGAAAAAAGGAGGAATCCAGAACTTTGCTAATGTGTTTTGTTTTTGTGCTTTTCAGCAATCATACGTGACGTCGTAAAAGCCAAGAACAGAGAATTTGAGAAGCTGGAGGCTGCTTATCTCGTTGATGCACTGTAGATAGCAACACTGGTGTGCAACTGTAAATACATGGGAGTTGTGTGGAGTGCTGATGGTTGAATATCGTATAAACCTATGGTTGAGGTAGAAAATATAAGGGCCTCTTCCTTTTTTTATAGCGAAATGGAATATAGTGATGTCCAGATGTCGGAAAATGAGAAGTTATTATAGAAATTCAAGACGAAAGGAAATAGATGGTTTATCTGATTAATTATTCCATTTGCCTAGACAACCCTGGTTTGCAGTTATATTTTGTCTACTAGTAACCCTCTACCCATGTACATAGTACTACCCAAAAAGAATTGATAATCTACCCACATTGCATTCCATATACTGTCTAGATCACATGTACTCTAGCTATACAAAAAGAGTAGAGCTTATATTACTATTGTGACATGCCGAATTGTCACAGAGTTGTTGTGATTGTTTGGTGCTGCCCTCGAGTGTCGAAATGAGAGGAAAGATAGACGGCAGCACTACAGAGAACAGATGGCAGCACTAGGCCACCATGCTGGATCAGATAGGAAGAAAGCATTCTGCTGATTAGTAATTTTCTATCAGTCAAGAGCTACGAGGTTATCGTGTGACCCAGGGCAGTTTGTTGCCCGCGAAGTTGGTGTGGTCATTTCTACGTGGTGATGATCGGTGGCATGATCTAGCGCGATCATGTACTGGGCTCCCTAGGGTATGTGAGCC